TTAAAAAGTTAGAATCACATTTCTAAGATTGTTGCCACTTACATTAAGATCTATTCCGCATTTTCATAACGATATGTGGCAAAGTCGATTAAATTCCGGTCGGAATAAGGGCTACGTGCAAAGCAACTTTGAGCTTTGAGGTGAACCACAACAACCTCTCCTCATCCATTGTATTATATATATATATATTATAAATTCGAAAATATGTCTGCTTCCATCACATTTTCACGCGTAAACCGTAGATGGGGTCATAGTATATTTTTTATGCAGTATAGTCGCGAATGTAACGAGCCAGTAAAGAATAATTGTTTCAAAAATAATATAGCTCCTTACCTACAGTATAATATGTACTTTATATTAGTTGTGTGCTGTGATCACGTTAATGTTTAACAAACATTTGAAATAAGTAGGTACTTAGGTACTAAAACTCGTCAAGTGACAACTGCAAACACCTTTGCCTGCCTACAGTACAGATATAATACTCTGCATAATAATTTTAACAAGACTATTGAATATATTTAAAAATATCGTAGTAATTAATCTATAATATTTTTTAAAAAGATATGTTTGTAATTTGCTTTTTCGAACTACGATGAGTTAATTTTTTTTTATATAAAAGCATATTTTTTTGTAAAATGATTTTTATTAAAAGTGACTGACTGATGACTGCTTGATGATTGATTCTGTCAAGATAAATAAATCAATAGCATAGTGTACTACCTCATGAAATTATTAATTATGATTAAATCTTTTAAACCTACTAGCGCTAGTAGGTAGCTACTAGCGGTTTAGAATACCGCTGTACTTCCGATGGTCGCGGGTTCGATTCCTCACACGGTGCAAACATTTAGTTACAGTAGTAGAATAGTACAGTATATAGTTGTAGTACATTACTAAGAATAATAACTAAATAATATAGTTTGAGATCGGTATTAATCTGCATGATTATAATACAAAATGGCGGCGGTAAATAATGTCTCTCGTCGTAACTTAAAAGTAAATAAAGTAAGTAAATAACGCTATAACAGAGGAAAAAAGCGCAGTAACATTTCATTTTGTATTATATTAGCGTTTGCTTTGTACAATCAACCTACATTAATGGTATAGGGAAATGTGATTAACAAATAAAAAAAGCTGAATGTTTAAGGATATATATATATTGATATTTAATTATAATGATATAACTAAGTACATAAACGCAAATAATCCATGAAATAGCACCTAATTCATAAAATGATCAATTCTACAGTACATAATATCAATTTTGTACTATTTATTTATCAATACAATGACAAATACATATTCTAAACACGGAAAACAAATTTCAATTCAATTGCTCACATTTTTAGCATACACATGTTAAATATAACAGATATTAAGTTACAGAAAGATTTCCGCCTTAAGTATCCCATAAACAATAGATTTTGCGTCAGTCATCATGAATTGCAAATTTTTTATGCTTAACAAGTTTTTACCTCCGACTTCCTTCGCTGGATAGTAATTACCTCATTGATAGTAGAAAATTAGGCTTTTAGAAGGGATACGTGAATTGACTTGGGTATCTGTATTAACGTGATATTGTTCAAAAACTCCAGCCATTCTTCTATAAATTTAACCGTATAGAAGGTGCACAGACATAAATATGTCTGTGCACCTTCTATACGAGAAACGCTATTATTGTAAGGTCTTATCAACGCAGTAGGGCTCAAAACTATGATTGTTATATTTTTTCGGTAATATGCAAAATCACAATACCAGAAAGTATATAACAATTTTTTTATAAAGACGCACAGATAATATGCTTTCATAAAGACGTGGGAAATAGATTTTATACTTCTAATAAGTCCATAATTTGACAGTGATAAAACTGTCAACAATTTGTATCGTCTAATGATCTTCTTAAATATGACCGCTAGTAGAACGGAATTGTACTCTGTAGTTAAATAACATTGTGTACCTACCAACGATGAGAAGGTTCAGTGTCCGAATTCTCACTCATTTAGTCGCACCTTGTGTATTTGTTTGTTTTTTTGTCTTGTTAAGACATTAGCATATAGTACAGTTTCTTATTTAGACTACTGGGAATGGAAAACATCCAATGGAACGCAATGCAACGGTAATTTATACATTACCACCAAGACCTATGTGGCACTTAGGAACTGTCTTGCCTTGATACACTTGAAGATATAAATGGTGTTGAATATATAATATATTCCAAAAGCCGTGCCTAACTTAGTCCGTGTAACTTAACGTATGGAATTATTATAAATTAATGCGTAACTTAGTCCGCGTGGAATAGTCGACGAAAGACGAATTTCCATACAAACTTTCATCCATTAGGTATTTTATTTTACTCTCTGTTTAATTTTTCACATACTTTGCATGTCACATTTAATCAAAGGTCTACAAAATAATTTCAAAGTTACTAATTTAAAAAATGACGATACTTTCAAATAACCTTTCATCATTGCTTTCAATCCCTTACAACCCATTTTTCGCATTAAAAAGTAGCATATGGCCATTCTCAAGACCTATACTATCTGTGTGCCAAATTTCATTTAAATCACTGTCATAGTACGCGTGATAGTGCAATAGAAAGACAGACAGAGTTACTTTTGCATTTATATATTAGTAAGGATTAGGTACAGAAAACTTGATGCAAACTAAAGCTTGTGTTATTACTGCAGTCGTTATTCGTTGTAAATTTGTTAAAGGGTAAAAATAGTGGATATGAAGTTCTGGATATGAAGATATAGTAGTAGTACTCAGTTGTTTTTGTAATGCAAGAGATATAACAACGGCCACATTATTTCTTGATACGTGCGGTGCCACTACGCATGTCTGTAGTATATTTTACTTTAGGTAGATCAAGAACTGTTTTCCGATTCTAATTAATTGAATACAAAATGGAAATAAAATAGAATAAACAAGAATATTCTCTCTGTCTACTGCAAAATACAGTGCCATGAAGTTGGAAAAAGTGTACTGGATAATTATTTTGCTTTATTTTACCTGCAGCTACTGGTGATTGTTCGTATGCAAAAATAACTCCATTAATATTAATTAACGATTTAATTAATTGCGAGTTCATAACCTAGTCATGAATAAACATAATTTTTATAAACACGGTTTTTATTCTGTATTTCAGTACATTATAGTGGCCCAGCCCGGCTTCGCTCGAGTGCTCAAAACTTTATGAGTTATGAGCACTCTGGAATAATGTACTATTCAAACACTGTTTCTTAAATCGGAGTATTTGTTCTAGAGCTTACTTTCTCCATAACAAAATCTCCTATATCTTTTGCTATGTTATTTATGATAGAGCCGCGAGCATCCAAAACCTTATCTAATTACATTTTGTGGTTAGAGTGTGAAACTTTACAATCGTTATTATTTTTATACTAAGTTAAAACTTATCATATCCTGGAGCTAGAAGACCGGCAGTAACTCTACTTTGCAGATGGGTAGAAGTTTCCAATAGGAAACCACTCTACATGACAGCATTACAGAATGGATTCAGACAAACTCATAGTCTTAGGACTAATTGCAAACTTTGCAGAAAAAAAACTTCTTCACAGAGTAAAGTGGGAAAGCAAGATTGTAAATGGTTATAAATTTAAGTTTGAGAGGCAAAAAAAAACAGCATGCCTAATCAAACTCTAAGTTTTAATATTGAGAAACATGTGCCAATTGCTATAATTTTACAGGCTTGTAGTTTTGTCCTTCGGACATTCACTATTATAACTAGATTCCACATCATGATGATGCCTAAGTAAGTATCGGTACTTCTAAATCTACGTACTAAACCTACTTAACACATATTTATTCCAAAGTAAATAATAAATACTGGTTGACACGTAGCATTCTCGTATAAATAATGTTAAGTAAAATATAAATAATCTTAGCATATTATAAAATCGTAAAATGATGACGAGGTGAATAAAAACTGTGAGTTTCTTTTTATGTCTTTATTTATAATAAACTTCAATTTATTTATAATGTAATAAAAAAGTACTGCAATTTCTTAAATAAAGAAATTAATCCCTTTTAGGAATGTTTATATTATTGAGGTGTGCTATTAACATTTCGTTAATGTTTTTAATGATGGCCTTTCCATGTAATTGCAATTTTTTAAGTATACATAATGAAATATAAATGCAATGCCATGTAGGTGCTGCACTCTGTGATCGAACTTAACAGTTTTAAGGCCAATTTTCAATGACATCAACGGCTCATTTAAGAGGTTGATTCCATTTATTTATGTACCGGAAACAAGTTAAAAATACATGTTTTTATATGTAATGGATAGTTTGTATCTGTACTTAATTCTTATGAAACTATATAGGAAGTGAGTAAAATTTGTTTTGTCAGTCATTGCCCCTTTAATGGTCTGACAACAATAATGTTAATGAGAATTTTATGTTTGTTACAATGAGCAATAGTTTATCTATTATTAACTAGTAACTTAGTATAAATTAACTAGTAACCGCTATAGAGAGTGAGTATTGGTGAAGACACACAAATTTGCTTTGATATAGTGAAACGTATGTTTTGCTGCATAGGTACTTCTCCCTCGCTAGCTCTTGGTCCTAAAATGAGAGATTATGTGAAGATAATAATGCAGAAGAAGAAAATTGTATTAATCAGCAATAATAACAGGTTAACCTAATGGGACGATGGAGGGTCTCATAAGCAGTAAGACGTTAATGCACATAGAAATAGAGTTCACTCTCGTATAGCATTTAAACTAATTTTTATACAACAAATATCATTTTTAACTAAATCTTATACATTTTGGATATTTCAACATTATACTGTTAGTTACACTAGTATTATCCACTCAATACCAGCTATGTCACGCTATGTTAGGTTAACTGGTAGAGATCTCGTTATCTATCGTCGATCTCTTAGATATACCACCTTTGCTCACTTTGTCTGTAATTTAGTTTATTACTGTATTTCATAATGCAATAAAGAATATATATTTTGTTTTGTTACAGAAATGACGGTAGGGGTGCAGTCTAATGATTCCCATCTGCTATTGGAAGGATCAGATATTACGTACATGGATATGATAGACGAAACTACAAGTTGTGGCGAGTCTCAGATCCAGAAATTCTACTCTGGTTCTACCATATTAGTTACAGGAGGCACTGGGTTTCTTGGAAAACTTCTCGTTGAGAAACTGCTCAGGTAAGTTTATGATCAGGATTCTGTAGACAAGTGATATTTAATGAATATAAGTAATAAACTTCATAATAAATATATCAAAGTAATTTTCTAATCTCATGAAATATAAGATATAAAAGGTCGTACTTTGTCTCGGACTTACTACTAACCGATGTTGAAGTATTTTTTAGATTTTACAATTAAATTGTCTTTAAACTCAATAAAAATGAGTCTCAATCTGAAAGTAAGACCTATATAATCTATTTTATTAAAAATACTCGCTAATTAACGCATGAAAACGTAGGACATAAAATATATTGATTGTCTTCAATCTTGACTAAGGTATAATTTGACTTGACTAAGATTAACGGTGACGTCGCTCCGTAAAGCCTGTGAAGATACCAGGAAGCTTTTACGCTTGTAGGAAAAACTGGGCTGGCTACTTTAGTAGTATCGGCTATACACGTCCAACGGCCCTGCTGAGATGCTAAATGCGGAAAATAAAGTCTATATTACATTACATTTAAACGAACTTTTCGCATATCATGTGTTACATTAACACATACGTTCTGCGTTAAACCATTTACTTAACAACTTCCTACTTGATGTTAGTTTAAAATATGACACCCTTGGTTATCATATAGATTAAGCTACTTGCATCATTTGTCGCTTCACTTCTGATCCAAAGTGTTAATTATAAAAATAATCGCGTAGTTACATCCTATGCCACACGTCTGCTACAAGCCTTGAGCAGAACTGATATTGTGTAATGATATGTGTACGCGCGTACAACATATAAACTAGACACTAACTTGCAATTTTTATAACGATAATGGACGTCATGTTATAATTAGAAAATTAAAGTTTGCGAAAATTTTTATACTATATGAAATGATAATATTTTACATTATTATTATACATTAATATACAGTGTTCAGTTAAAACATTTTACACCGAAGTAATGACTTTCTTGTACTTTAGGCTGATGTTGCGTCGATTTCAAGTAATACTCATACATCATTAGATACCTATAGCAGTCGTAATTTGTAAATACTTTGGACCATTGTTTTCAATAATAGATAGGTAGTTTTGTACTCAGAAATCACACCTCGGTTGTTAGTTACCTATAGATAAATGCAGACATTAAAATATTGCAATTTCTCACCATAATTGTCTACTAAGTAATTTCTCAAATAACAATGTTTGCACAACAAAAAATTGCAACGTATCTAATAACAAAAAACTTATATAACCACATAAGGCTACTATAGTATCATAAACTGACGGGCCGACAACTAAGGAAAAGTGATGCCTATCGTATATAGGAGGGTACGAATAATCTAGTCCTAAAAAGTCCTAAAAAGGTGTTCAAGCAAGACTGTTTGCAACATACATCTCAAGTGTTTGACATTTTACTGACCGTGCACTTATTTTATATATTGTCTACCTAATAAAATGTAATTCAAATTGACTACGGGCTTTCTCTACGAGTCAAGTTTCATGTTATTCCTTCATTTCCTATAGTTTCTCCATCATATCTCAGTTTTTACCAATATAATAATATAAATATTTTTTTCTAAATGGCAGAAATATGTAGATAAGATAGAAGTACGTAAATGTAGACAGAGTATATAAGGCTTTATTTGGAGTTTTGAATTAGAGAATCTTATTTTTTGCTTGTCATCTAATATTTACATAATAAAGTTTTAGATGTTATTGTTAAAAGTTGCCATAACATAGTGTCATGAAGAGATAAAAGATTTAAAACAAGGAAAATTAAAGTATATAATTACTCAGAATCAGGTCAAATCACAAGTCAAGGTGTTGTCCAGGCAAATACAAGGTAAGAATGCGTAAAAGCAAAGCTAAAATCAACCGTATTATCTTGAGTATATAGCTGAGTAAGATATTTGGCTAATCCCGGAACAATTTAAGCCTTAATCATACTGTTTTTAAGGTTCATATTGGAGAACTTTGATGTTTATTATTCCAAGTGTGCAACAATTGTTTACAATGAGATCTTAAGGTCGCTAAACAGACCATTTAAGGACTTGCATATATGTGTATGTGTTTTACTACGAGCCCTAATTATAGGTGGCATATATTTAAATGTTCCAGATTCAAATTATATAACAAATTATTATCCCTATTAATGTGTTCAGTCCAAAATTACATAGTTTTTTGTAATTAATTAATAGCAAAAAAAATTTAAGTTCCATTGAATTTTATAAAGAATACATAATTATAACACCTCACTATTATAACAAATTTGATAGTACTTATATGTTTGAGGTTTAAATTAAATTAGCAGAATCATAACCCAAAGTCCATTATATCCGAAGTCCATGGACTTTAGATATGATGTCATCAGAAATCTGACACTATCTAATTTACTGATGTCATCCAGTACAAGAGCTGTCTTAATCCAGACATACGATAAAGGAAAATATGTGCAACCCGTCTTTTTGGATTTCCCGGTAGTTTACACAGGTTTATTTGCAAAGTAAAAATACTCTCACGATCACAATCATGAATGAATTATGCAAGTATAGGATACCATTAGAATAATTTATTCAAATTATAAAATAACCAGTGACAATTCTAAAAGAATATAAAGAGCAAGCGCACGTGTTTAGCATAATAAGTGGGTTGACAGTGGAATAGAAAATATGGAACTTTTTACTCTGTCCAAAAATGAGGAATATCACCCTATATATATAATATATACTACGTTTCTTCATGACAGGCATATATAATATCTATGACTACTTCTATAGACATTCTTGGTATACTTGGTAGATATCAATTGTTCAATGTCCCATGGGTGGTCTATTCTATCGCATAGATAATGAACAATCATATGTGTAATTATTTGATACTAGCTAATCGGACAGACGTTGTCCTGTCTTAACTATTGTTGAATAGAGTCAATAACTCTGCGCATTGTACATAGTAGGGAAACGTTGAAGAGAACTTAACGAGTATATTAACTTTTCTAGTGTTCCGCATATCTTTCTGTTACGAGTGCACTATTCCATTATCGTTCATAAAAAACGTTCTAAATCTTACTAGTATATTAATTGAGTCAAACCAATAATTAATAATTCCTTCCAAAGTAATTTCTTTATAAGTTGAAATTCTGTATCTTATGTATCCCTTATCTATGACTCTCCTCTCTGAACCACGGTCATTCGCTAATTCATATTGCGTCCTGTAATTTAAATTTACTATGCAGGTAACATACAACATTTCAATCACATATTACTTTTTATCATTACGGTGTCGAGATGTCTAGAAAAACTGATTCAAATTCTACATTCAGAGTTATGACTGTCATGTATATTACTTTACTCTTTTATTTGCTGTGACAGACAAGTGATGCAATTAATATTGAGATTTTACTTGCTTATGATAAGGTTGATAATTAATTGACCAACTTCATTGATAATGTGTATTTTTATCTGCGGGAGATAAAACCTATTACACTCTTTTGATTTCCGAATAGATTTCACATAATGCTATAACGCTGATATGATATTAATCTCATAAAACAGAATATTGTTGAAGTCTATTAATACATCATGTAATGATTGTAATGGATTACTGGAGGAGGATCCATCCACTTTGCTGTCTTATGGAATAGCAACAATAAGAATAAGATAGTCCCTTTTCTATATTATCAGTGATATAGAACATATTGTTCCCGATTATGTTACCAAATAGTAATTGTTTTTTTGTAAGACTGATCAAGCCTATTTTCAGGAACATATCAATTTGTAATGGTATAAGTGTAGGTATATTGTCAATATATATGCTTTATGTAATCTAGTTATTTCTTCTTTCCAGATCATGTCCAGATATAAAAAAGTTATTCCTTTTGGCGAGACCAAAAAAGAATAAAGACATATCGAAAAGACTTCAAGAACAATTTGAAGATGTCGTAAGTATTTCATACAACTTATTAATTAGTTGTAAAAAGCTAAAGACACTTCGCCGACGGATTCTGTTGCTCAACACTAGTTGCACCATTAAATTTAATTTCACTAATTTCTTAATTATTACGTATATTATATTACTGCTGCTCATTAAAACGTCTGTTTAAGAAATACATATATAGTATCCTAGTGGTGGCGCGGTGTTTGAAATTCGACTACAGACTTCACCAATAAACAAAAGAGTATATACGAATATGCGTGTGTGTCAATTACGTGGTAGTGACTGTGATATATTTTTTTTTATTTCATGTAGTGTGAAAGCATAATTTAAAAAAGTATTACCCTTTGCACTCCTACTCTATATAACATATATATAGTTTTACAGATAATACTCGTACGAGTATATACATGTAGATTTCATAGTTACGTATCTTCAGGCTAACTCCCTTACGGCAGAAAGAAACAAATGTCACTTGGCTTCAGTACTACTTACAATTCTAACTTCATTCTCATGCTGTCATGACTCATAGCATGCATGGTTTCGATAAAGGAAGTACTATTCTCCATTTCTATTTCCTTTATACATTATTAATTAGATGTTTTTAGACTTACAGCTTTCTTAGTCAGTCTTACCATAAATTATGGAAAGACAAATCTCCCATTACCCATAACTCTTATATTAACATAGAAAGTAATAATATATTGTTAAAACTTAAGTTTTTAAATAATATTATATTGGTGCAGCTCTACGACAAGCTAAGGAAAGAGCGTCCTGGATTCCTGAAGAAGATAACAATCGTAGAAGGAGACGTTGGTCAAATTGGGCTTGGAATGAATGAAGAAGATAGAATGAAAGTTATCAACGAGGTAATTATTTATAATTATGTACCAACATAAGCTTTATAGTTCATTTACTCGCTACTTCATCTTCTTTTTTTAGATAAATATAACCATGTCTCGTGATACAATCTATCTTCAAGCTAAATTTCGTTGTCATTTCATTAGGATCCATTTACTCATTTAAAGGTTACAAATTGACAGGACTAATCCTCGGGAATGGTAACGCGTTAATAAGAACCACATGCCTCTCATAATTTTCATGTCTACATATAAAGGTTACCACTCACCACCACACAGGCCGACAGCTTAATTATCATTTCAATTATATGTATAATTGAAAACATTACCACACCAAATATATAACTGAAACCACTATTTATGTAAGATAGAGATTATATATTAAAAAATTTCAGGTAGAAGTCATTTTTCATGGAGCAGCGACTGTGAGATTTGACGAAGCTTTAAAAACCGCTGTAGAAATTAATGTTCGAGGCACCAGGGAGATGTTACACTTGGCGAGATCCTGCAGCAAGCTACGTGCCCTTGTTCATGTATCCACGGCATACAGGTATATACTATCCACCTTTGTATAGGGAATACCTAATAATTACAGTAACGTGATAGAAGACGTTGTATGATCACGCGAAATTTTATCGTACGAATAGGACAGCTGGAACCGGGAAATACCACACCTCTATCATAGCGTCATAGCGTATAGCATAGTCAAGTTTCCGGACGCCCATCTTCCTTCCTTTTATCCTTTTTTTTAATTCCTTCTCATACCTACCCTTTCTTAAAGGACGGCAACTCACCTCCAATATCCTTAATATTGCCCGGACTGATAAGCTGCAACGCTAATCAATTCACCATTAGGTGTACTGCAAGCGTATCCATCTACACTAACTGTTGCATAAATGTAAATTTATATATTATACAGTAATAAAAAAATATATAATTTATTTAGTGTTTAAACTCACACTGATTATTTCGATGCTATCTTTACAGCAATTGCCTGCATAATGAAATCGATGAAAAGTTCTACGAACGTTCTCTGCCTGGGGAAAAATTAATAGATCTAGTTGAAACTATGGACGAGAAGATAATCAATAACATCACACCTGGGTATGTATCTATAAAATTAATTCATAATTACCGTCAACTTGATTACTTGACAAACAAAATCAATTCAACATTTTTTGTAATAGTGACGGTAAACTGTATTTAAGCCGATTATGTTAATATGTAGTAATATCACTTTATAAGCTTTTTAAACTGGATATAGTTAAGCCGTCAATCTGACGTTAGATTCCGAAGGACTGAAATGTCATATCTCCATAGTTCAGACAGTGAAATCTTAATGTCTTACGTCATCAATCAAAAGAAAACACAATTTACAAACTGAACTGCGTGACACGACATACGACATTGTATATATATATATATATATATATATACAATGTCAAAAATATATACAATGTATATGTATATTTATATATACTTTATAATACCGCACTACACACCCGCAGGTACTATATAGCTTACATTAGTCGTTAAACAATAACAATGTAATAATTAATTAGATGATAGATTTTTTGAGTTCATCAATAATACAAAAGAACATACAAGAAATATTTCCTGTTTATATTTTGTTCATAGATTTCATATTATATGTAAGAATACATTCTAATTTCAGGTTACTCGGCGACTTCCCCAATACATACGCCTACACAAAAGCTGCCGCTGAAGATATTGTGTTGAAGCTCTCTAAAGGTCTACCGGTGGCACTGTTCAGACCAGCTATAGGTACCATCAACATTTTAAGCTACTAATTACGATTACATGATTTTATACACACACATAAAGCTATAATAATATGAATATTATAATTATAGCCATTATTTACTGGTATCTACTGAAATCACAGCAGAAATGAAGTATATTTTATTTAATTTCATATAATTATACGATACGGTTATTAGATTCTACTTTTACTTATACATTTATATAACAATACATTGATAATATTGGTTTCAGTGATTGGTACGGCAAAGGAACCTTTCCCTGGATGGATTGATAACGTTTACGGTCCTACTGGCGTAAGTATTTTTTTCTTTCGTACGTGTACACGTACTTATAAATATGAAATACTTACTGATAGCTGTAACTTTGAGCTTAGTGTAATTGTAAGTAAGATTCCGATAAGCTATTCCATGATGGTAAACAATGTTAATAAACTAAATGCAATTGAAGATAGAAATGGTACACTCAATTTATGTTATGTTATATTATCAAATAATGCTAGGCGCATGTTCGATAATGATTACATCAACAAGTATTCTTCACAGCTTTAAAAGTCACACATTTAACGGCTAAAAGTTTCACCGAACGAAACCATTTGCCTTTCTGTTTGATGATATATTTTTACATAACTTATCTTTTGTTGTTCAGATTTGTCCCTATCTACAATTTGACGTGAAGGCAAGTTCATCAGATAGCCTATTAAATCTATCCAACTTATTCCAAATCTAATCTATTAGATATACTTTGAACATTACGTTTTTTTAATTTACAGGCTGTGGTTGGAGCTGCAGTAGGTTTACTCCATGTCCTCAACTGTAACCCCAAAGCAATTGCAGACTTAGTCCCCGGTGATATGGTTGTGAATAGCTGTATTGTAACAGCATGGAAGACTGCGAAGGAATACCCTGGGAATCATGAAGATGCTCCACCACCCGACTTACCCCCACCAGTTTATAATTACGTATCATCTGAACAAAACCCATTGACTTGGGGTAAGTACTTATCTTCACTTGAGTCTTAGACAGCTTTTTCGGAGGGGATAATGAATTATTCTCTTTTAAAATATCTTGTAACATACATATTTTACTATACCTTAATAGGTAAAAATAAAAATCGAACTTAAAAAGACAAATATGAGTGTTTTATAAAACATAACATCAATGTATTAATTGATTAACAATATTAATTAATTAAATCTAAATAACGGAGAAAAAATTTTTTTGTATACTTCTTAGAAAATTTCGAATTTTTAAATAATTTTATGAATAATATAAGTTTCTGTTCCATCATATGTATCATATACTCAGTAGCAACATCTAAATTCCCTTATTTTATTGTTGTTACAGAGAAGTTCATGAAATACAATGAAATACATGGCTTTGAAGTTCCACCGTTTGCTGCTGTCTACTTCTACTTGTTCCACCTAACTCCGTCCCGCTTTGTGTACACATTGTACTGCATCTTCCTCCATTGGATACCGGCCTACATTGTAGATGCTATTGCTGTACTGATTGGAAAGAAACCTATGTGAGTATTTTTTCTGAATACTAAATAATAGCCCAACTGAAGAAAAGCAAGCTGCTTAATGGCAGAAAAGGCTGACCCATCTATTGATCTACAATATATAGATAATATAAATTGTAGATTAATATAAGCAAGTAACGCTTATATTATATATATCATTGAGACCGCAGATGTAATATTATTGCTGAAATTTCATAGCAAAAATATTAATATTACTAATTGAATTACCTAAAGGGTATCTGCACAGTGTAAACTATCCTATAGGTAACGGAGCATATTAAACTAATTCGAAAGTAAATAAATACATTTTCGTTTCAGGTTACGAAAAGCGTACACGAAAATTGCAAAGTTTTCAGACGTCCTCTCCTACTTCGCTTTACGTCAATGGAAATTCTCAAACGCGAACATACAAAGTTTGTATAGCGACTTATGCGAGGCCGACAAACAAATGTTCGGCTTTGACATGTCCTCTATCAGTTGGAATGAATATTTCTACAATTACGTCCGTGGTGTTAGGATCTTTCTTTTGAAAGACCCCATGGATACCGTACCAGCGAGTGTAAAGAAGCATTATAGACTCAAAATATTGCATTACACGTTTTGCACTATTTTGGGTTTGGGTTTATTAAGGTTTTCATGGAGTATACTTAGTTTTTTTTATGCGTTAGGTTATAGATGTTTCTGATTATTATTTGATAAATATCAGTTATTGCGCTTTGTAAATTTTATATAATGACATTATGTCAGAAAGTACCTATTGTTGGTGGTTAGAAAGAGAAAGATAAATCATTGATATTTTTAGGCAATGGCCATGTAATATATGATGAAGGAATTTGGGATTAAAAATCTTATTAAATAGAGTCTTCAGTAGCTTATACTATGGGTTAATAATTACGGAGGTTGTCTTTCTACCTTATAATTTATAAAGAAATCATGGCTCGAAATCAGGTAACATTGGTCCAGCTATTAAAAACTCCTATATCTTCCGATTATTGTTCCGACATACCACTAGTAAGTTATGCATCGTGTATCGGTCTAGTGCATCCGCAATTATAGCCATTGGTAATTAAATTTTTAAGTAATTGATTACAATGTACAATGATATAATTGATATACCAATTAGGACGCTCGAATACTATGACAACGGTATGGGTACCTTTTTTACATTATTAAATATCGAATATTCAGTGTATGTGAATATAAAATTTCAGAAAGCTAATTATTTCAGTTTTACTACACATACGAGTATCATGTAACAGATGATTATGATGTCCTTGGTTATTTGTATGTAGCTAGATTAATTCTGAAACTAGAATATTATAACTCTATTTTTCTATTATTAACCCCAAGTCCCTGAAGATCCAAATGAGAAACGAACACTGGATACTGGGCGTAAATTTAATGAAATTGATATATTTTTATAATTATTTCAAAGCGTAGCTACAATAATAAATTGTATAAAAATATTGTGATTATATATTACCTTAACATGTATAAGTAGATTACATTTTAAAAAATCAGGTTCTAATAAATTTATAAGTAGGTACTACCTACTTATTTAAGAGTATTTGTCAAGAAAGTTTTTGATTAAAAAACAATCAAGACAACTAGCAACATCACTAATTATATTGTCCTAGGATTCTCCAAATGCATATTCTTTAGGTTAAAATATAAGCTTTTATACTTTGTTATTGCGATAACTCAATTGTTAATAATAATACATATTTCAAATCCACAGATCACATACAGCGGAGACTAAGAAATTTGTATAAAAATAAATGTGATTCTGATAACCTAGCCTTACACTTGCCTTGATATTACAGGAAATTTGTAAAAGACAACTAAAATACTATTACTGTTTTTAATCTCAGTACATTATCATTTTTCTACATACATTTAATATAAGAACATAAAATCTGTATATTATCGGAGATAATTAGTTACTTAATTACTGTACTGTATTTTATTATAGCTACGGGGCCAGTATGAAGGATGCATAATATGTTCAGTTACAATATCTATCAATATAAAGTTTAATTTATACCACAATGTATAGATTTATGGTTTAAATTAGAACCGATTTTTATGTCATATTTCTCAGAAATGGCAACACATGAGGGCTGCAATGAGTATCTCATGACGCCATGTTGTCAGTTATGTTCTCGTATATATATAGAGGCGACTGTTGCCACTTGCAACTATGTAGATTGGTTGCCATTTCAGTTGATTGAAAAACATTCAAACCGTATCCTCTGTGACCTTACTAGATCCGGAGCTCCTCATAACATCGGTATTGTACTATATACTCATCAATGGTACCTATTCTATATACAATATATCTTGATATAGTTAATTATTAACATTAAATATTTCAATGTGATAAATAATATCGAAATTTGCTCAGTTATTTTAATGTACCTATATAGAATAATATAAATAATTTTGTATTTAATTTGTAATGATTGTGTGTGTGTGTCTGTGTTAGTTGCCATTTAATTATAATAAGTAAATAAATTAATATAGTGATAGAATGTCTTTTTTTTTACTACTTGTAGCATTAACATTTTGCTAAAACAATGTAGGTAACATTGTTTTATCAAAATATAAAATGATCCACAATTTTAATAAATTACTATTTTGTTTCATATAATACCATAATCACGACCGTTATAATTTTGAGCTATAGGTACTTACTGACTGACGATTAGCCATGCTGTTTATGTCAATAACCAGCGGTATTTATAATGTGAACCAACCGCTTGTCAAAATTATTCGACATTCCAAGTCATATGTAACATTCAATTTATTTTTCAGGACCATTAAAACTTAATTGATATGATTAATGTTACATACGAGTACGACTTGGAATATCGAATAACCTTGTATACCATATACAGATATGTATAATAAAACAATAAATATATTGCATGTATCTTGCAACTTGCAATGACTTACATTTTCTATTTATACTTAGGTATAGGTATAGTTTATGGTTTATGCATTAGAAGTAACAGAAATTATTATTATTATATCAATTAATTGTTTGGCTGTTAGGGATTTTCCAGAGCCGTAAAACCTATTAATAAAATAAATACATAGATCAAGTTATGATTATGTCACATCAGGACAGACAATGATGTAGGTACCTTTTAGATATAACATTGACAGATGAATTTTTACAGATATTTTTGTATTATAATAAGTTTTGTAACTTTATATATACAAGCAAAGGATGATATTAATATAATGAATTATGGTCTGGATGTCGTATCGCCATTTTCAATTGGGTTGCAATTTTTTGTTAATGTCAATAATACCTCTGACAATGATATCGAAGCTGAACTGATTCCAGATGAATGCTGTCTGAAGATGGAACCTAATTTAAATTGTGATATTTTAGAAGCAATTGGAGACTGTATTCAAAACATTCCTAAAGGTTTTATCTTGTACTATTTATATCCCATAAGTTTACCACCATTTATTATGTATTCTAGGATAGAAATTATCCAATATGATTTATAATGGATACGTATCTATGTTTTAAAGTAAAATTCCAGCTTTCGATACTTAGTACTTTCTGCTAGGCATTGACTCGTCGAAGTCGCAAAACATATAGGCATATGTTATTGTCATTAGATTCAGGATAAATATATTTACTGTTATTGCACTATTATATATAATCTAGAACTAAGTTTACTAGTATAACATATTTAAATAATTCTGTATAATATAATAATGTAATACACTCTACAAAATAAATATTATTTATAGGTTCAACTAAAATGTTCAAAATGGTAGCGCCACTGTTAGATCCATTCGAAAGATATGGTTACTGTGTATTCAATTTGGATTCAGTACCAGAAGATAGGCACAAAGGGGTGAAGAGAATCGCTGTAAAAATACCATTTGATACACGTTTAAAAAACAAAGAACAAACTATGGAAATACCAGAAATTATAAAACTTTGTAGCAAAATAGATGAAGATCCATTAAATAATTGTAAACCAGTTGACTGTGATATATATTATAATGGCAGAAGATCTTATTTTAATAAAAGACTTAGTAGGTGCTCGCATATACCTAAATGTATATCTGAGTTTGGAAACAATATCAGTAGTGTAATTTACAATCCAAATTCAAATAAATGTGTTAGGGAGCAGGTCATTACGAATACTGACATACATTTATTGAAAAATAATAATAAAGGTATAAACAGAAAGACAAAAGATATTATTTTAATACAAAACGTACACACAACCAGAAAAGCACAAAAGCATAAATTTGATGAAAATGAGAAAGACTTTATTGTGGAAACTATCTTACCTTCTAATAGAACTATGGAAGTAAAAGCAAAGTCTGATGTCACGAAAAATGTAAGTTATTTCAAGTGGAGTTTGAATAAGTATTCACCAACCAACAAGTTCACTCTCGTTGTACTTAGTCTAGTAATTATAGTACAGTGTTGTATAATTTGTACCATGATGTATTGTTTATCAAAAAACTGCCCGTGTTGTGATAAGAAGAAAGTTGTTAGGAAGTTTTTTAATTACAAACATGACGCTTCTGTTACTACACCTTTAATTGCGACTAGTAATATTGACACTGATACTACCGAGTTTCAGTATTTGAGCGAATCATCCAATATAGATAAAAAAATCAAGTGTTATAAAGCATGCCAAAAAGAATGGAAAAACAATATTAAAATGAGTATGTCTGACGATATTTTATCCAAATGTGTAAACAGAAGGGATTGGAATAGAAAACCAGGAAAATCTAATGCTATTCCCGAAACTGATGAGACAGTCGTTACTAAAGACACTGAAATCAAATGTGATGTGATAAACTTCCAAAAAAACGAATTTGCTAGTAATATATTTAAGACATCTGACGTTAAAGTTAATTTTGAGAATGAATTACAATCTAACGAAAGTGAAAAAGACATAAGTTCAAGTAAAAGAGCCAAAAGTATAGTGAAGAAAATAGAAGATAAAAGTAAAGATAAAAAGGATAAAATAGAATATCCTAAATCCCAATGCAAAAATACATCTGAAAGAGAAATCAAATGTCACAGTTATAATAACATGGACGATATTCCTAATATAACCGGCTTCCAAACAAGTACACACAGCAATAATGTGGGAGTCTACAAATACAATAAAAGTAAAAAAGGAACATTATCAGCTTCTACTGAAAAAGGGGCACAAGCGGTGTTTTCAAATGATTCAATCGATGATTTTCTTTCAGGGCGTGGCATGTTCTTAACTGGTGAAAATTTGTCTAAATACTCATTCTTCAGTGGATCAAATATTTATAACAAAAAAACTTCAACATCATCGGATATATCAAGCAAAACATCTAAAAATAATTTAGTAAGGAATGTATTATCACTTTTACGAATAAAATCCAAACATGGCCATTCTTCGGACCCTGGAAAAAAGAAAAGTAGTCAAAATTTTGATATTGAAATATTACATGACATGTCTCATGCTTCAATTTACTCGTCAAGTAACAATGACTCTGATTATATAAAACATTTAAAAATAACCAAAGAGTCGAGAAGTTCTATGTAACGACAAACAAGAAAACAATAATTATAGTATTTTAGATTTAATATTATTATGTACTTCATTGAAATATTTTTATTGAAGTACTTGTATATTTGCTTGTCTTGTTTTAATATCACTATTATTAGAAGGCACACGGTTTGTCTTCAAAATATATATAAGTAGGTAATAATAGACATATTCCCATAACGACATGCCAATGTGAACCAGTATCTATTACCACTAGCAGATGGTTTTTTTTTTCGAAATATTCTATTGCTGTTGGCCGCAGCTGGCTTCACATCTTCGCCAAACTATCGTCTGCAGGCTGAGTTAGGACGAGTGATAGTTAGATAGATACTTATATAACATTTGAATTACAATTATTGGAGATAATGAGTTTTTAAATCTGGCTTAAATCATATAGATTATGATGACCTCAAAAATATAAGTTAAGTAATAACGGTGCAAGACTTATAAACAACAACAAAGTAAATGAAACACATATAGTAAGATAGAATTTTATCGTCGATCAATAAAATGTGGAATCCTTTCTTCACCACCGGGGCATTTTGGACAAACGCACGGTGGGCACACCGTAGTCGGAGCTTCTGTTGGTGCGGTTACATATTTCGGCGGTGTTACCTAGAATTGAAAACATGTGGTTATTATAGAGTTCTGATATAAATCTGGGTTGATAGACATGTCTATGGAATTTAGGCATATGTGACCACAGTTAAGATTAAATTTTATGAATAATTCCAGAATAAGTAACTATAGAGGCATAACACTTTAATCATTCTGAGTGGCGATGCTTGAAAAGAGTGGTAACGGTGATATGAAGTCTACGGGTATTTGTGTTCACAAATGGTACTGTTAGGAGCAGTTGTCACTTAACATAATGTAGGCCGTCAGCTTGTTTGTCATTCCAAATATATGAGAAAAAGTATAATTGGGTTACTAAATTGGACTGTAAGGAAAAAATAGTAATACTAAAAATTCGACGTTCATAAGCACTTAAAATGTGCTACATGAAAAAAATATTTTTAATTGTATGATATGGATAGTTATAGTCGATTAGTACCTTTATTTTAGAAAAATGTATATTTCCAATTAGTTTGAATTTGGTCAGTGGTCCCCTCGTAACACATAGGCACTGAAAATAGTATTAGTAGTTATACCTCGTTATCAACGAAATTTAAACTTTTTTTGTATTATAAGAAGAACCACGCTTGTAATTTATTGTCAACAGAAGTATTATATATATATATACTACGAATATGCATAATATTAGCAATAATTAAAATAATTATGCAATGGCAGTAATTAAAATTGTTTAATGTACCTAGCTCTATTAGGTATAACCGGTTTTTATAATTTATTACCCAGTAGAGTCAGTCCATATTTAATTTATTATGATTAATCTGACAATTGTTAAGTTATACGACATCTGCAAATACTCTGAATAATAATATATAAAAAAATAAAATAATAATACACTACAGATTGTCCATAGAGACTCTGAGCCCACTTATTATCCTAATTTAGAAGGTTGAATTATTAATAGGACGACCCCAGTAAAATGCAATTAGTCGTAAATTTAAATCAAAATTTCACTATAATTATTACTGCTCTACTTAACTGTAGATATAAAACCTCGTCCAGTCCCGTCATAAAACATAGTTTCGTATAAATTTAAAAGTAGTACATGTAATTGTAGTAACTTACACCAGGCTGTAAAATAAGACGTTTTTTTAGCAACGATCTTAATCATCAGTGATTATAATATGTAAGTCATCATCTATACTATTATCAGTATATATAGTTTTTTCTGCATATACTAACTATAGCACAATGTCTTATATGTCTCTATACCTCAGTGGTGTAGCACTTTAATACATCAAACCTTCTAATAGTGATCTCTTTTATGATATATCATCTCCAGTATGCTATATAATAGCTTTGTAGTAGTGGTTATTGAGTATTGAGGAATATCTAAATAAAATTTACACTGTTACTTACTTTCTGCAAGGAAAGTGCAATTCATTATTAATATAGGTTGGTAGGTATCTTTGCAAAGTTTACAAATATTCTTAAAATAATATGTAGATATGTATAAGAAGTATGTGGAAACAGAATAACTCACGAGAGGACTATACATATAAGAATATTCTGTGTGCGTGATACTCAAATTATAGGCGAAGAAAGGTGAGTAAAATTAGACTTACAAAACATAGGTAAGTTGATACTTGTATGATTTTTATAATGGATTCGAGGCATAAAAATACTGTCAGTAATATTAAAATATTAATATTATTTTAATCTCATACGTATAAAATGATTAGTGTAATAACTCACTGTAGGTGGCTAAAAATTATACAAAAAACGTGATAATAATAATAAAAAAAATAGTTCAACTTTCACATATATGATATATAGGTATTTTAATACTTACTTTCGTCTGAAAAAAATACGATTGTTATTAGAATGCAGATTCTATTTTAAGTGCATAAATACCTAAATAACACACGATTTTATTGATGTCTCCCAGATTTAAATACACGACCACTTGGATCAGGTCAGGGTAAACCACTGAGATTGTGCCCCTTAAAAGCGAACGCCGTTGAAGTCGTGGACAAGACCGCTCCAGACTTTAGTGTTTTTAATGAGTACGCCTACTATGAGACTCTTCTCCTGGTAGGAACTTGTTCGTTGCACCCTTGGCAGAAGGCCTCGATATATATAAATAATATTTTACTCACGTAATACTGCAAGAGACATTTAGTATTTATTTAATATTGTTACATCGAATATTAATATTCAATATATTTTTTAATTAATATCTTGAAATTTACGTACGGTTTTCTAAAACAAAAATGTTATAATATAAATAGTCGTTTACTTAAATGTAATAGTAAAATTTGCACAACAATAAATTTATTAAATTGATTTGAATTTCATAGCTTACCCAACGCTGAAAATTATTAGGTAATGTATTTATTTTATTCATGAAAATAATATGTCCATCCATTTAAATGTTTGATAAATCAAATATTTAAAACTTTTAGTACACACCTCACTCTGTAAGTACAAACATGAAAATAATTTACACAAAATAAAATTAAAATAATAATAAAATTATACTGTAATTAGAGTAAAAAAATACATACGTGAACTTCCTATAATATAATTAAAAAAAATAGATTAATATCCTATACAAAATCAATGTGTATACTTTGTAAAAATAATAATTTATTTCGTACTATTTTTATATAATAAAAATATGTTTCTTATTTTAATTATACTTACTAAAGCCTGCATTGAAAGTTAAAATATACGGCGTTAGTAACAATAAAATCAAAATACAATATTATAGTATCTAAGATAAGATTGAAGCATAGATGTGATATAGTATAATATGAAATAGTATTAAAAAATATATAGTTTTTGCGGAACAATAAAAATGATAGAGCTATCTACGGAGATTGACTTACCGCGCCGTCCTAGAAAATAACGTCAGCGTCAGATAATTCAAAATCAGTGGCAAGGTGACACTGGTTGGCTATTATATAGATAACTACATAATTTTTCTGAGATAGACCATATATGAAGTCGTCAGGGTGAGGACCCCAAAATTTCACCTATTTCGGCCACCAAACAAATTGCTTTATAAGCTGTTTATCGGTTAAAAAGAGATCTATTTTGTTCTAGTACTACCATACCTAGAAAACTCATATGTAACCAATTTTTTCATACATGGCTGTGCTTTATATTATGCTACGTTACCTGTAATTACTTCGGATTGTTATATTTAGATCATGACCAAAATTTATTTAGTAAGACTGTTGATGACGATTTTTAATTGGCATAGGCCAATATGATAAATATCATGTAAAATTACATATGTGATTTCAATAAATAAAATAAAATTACAGGTTAAAGAGGCATGACATCTTAGTCCTCCGGAATCATACATGAGTTACGATCGTCGTATAATGATTTTATGTCAGTCGTTCTGTTCATGTTAACTATATACAATTGTTGCCATGCTCTCTGGTGGACCGGCAGCTTTGTTTACTCAATACCAATACCCAATAACATAAAAAAGTTCATAATCGGCTATTTATTGAATGACTGGCCGAATGAAGGATTAGATGAGAATGAATGGACACCAATTAATCGATTGTCATTCTAAGGACAATGCTTGGCATTGGGGACCGCATGAAGGTCGTTTGGACTATATATGTATATTACTAGCAAAACTTAGCTATTCTGATTATATTTTTTTCTATTCTTATAAACATTTTATTATTTTGATTTTATATTTATTGCTAAAAATCAATGATTAAAAATAGTTTAATCTTAAAGTCGAATATTCGTTTGTTTTACTTAATTCAGTTCATTGAACTAAATTAATTATACGTATATAAAAAACTTATTGTAATAGGTTACATACCGCTAGCTAAAAATACAATTAAAAAAATATATTATGATGTCTGTGTAAAACTATTCAAGATGAATCAGCAGCGTCATTTTGTAATATAATAAATACTCTGACAAATATACGGTCGGACAGACATAACCACATAATAAAGGTTTAGTTATATCTTTAAAATTACAAATTTATTTTTTTAACTACATACTCAACAATTTCATATTACAATATGTAATTACATTAATAACTCATCTCATCTTCATGCACGCCAACCAGTAAGTCTTCTATAAATAATACAATATAGCTAATTGTATAAAAGTTATAGAAGAACTTCCTCATTTATAAAAGTACAAACGTAATGAACCTAATTTAGTTACTGAACTGCTATATCCCCTTCTTTCTATCTTCTTAAATGGAACAAAGTGGTAAAATATTCTAATAGTTCAAATCATCTTTATCTCCTTAGTATCCCCTTAATATATGTATGTATTATTAATGAGTGAGAATATCCTGTGAACATCATCAATAATATATCTGTACAAATAACATAAATATTTATTTCAAAATTATATTGATTTATATTAAAAGAATATTTAAACAAGGGT